TGGAAGGTCGGTAGTTTGGCAGTTCGATACCCATGTGTGCCGCATGACGGAGTGAGCTCCCGTCTCTAGTTCCAGCTCCTGCCAACCTAGCAGTTCGAAAGCAAGAAATTGCAAGTAGATAAATAGGTAATGATCTACGTATAAGCAATTTTTTTGATGCACATGGAAGACCAGGCATCCTCAATCCAAGTTTTTGCCAAACTTTCTCCCTAAACCTCAGCTGGGATAAAAACTCCAAAAAAACTCCAAAATACTCCAAAAGGCGAGATGCCAATTCTGAGTTACGACTATTAAAATTTCAAAGTCTAAGCATCTCAAAGTGATTTTTTGGATTAATTATATTTTCACATAGATCTTCGCAGATTTGGACAAATGGGGTCTTAATGGCAAATGGCACAATCACTTTTGGAATGACCATTTTTTAGATGCACATTGAAGACTGGGCATCCTCAGTCAAAGTTTTTGCCAAACTTCTTCCCTGAGCTTCAGCTAGAAAAAACTCCCCTATATACTCCAAGTGGTGAGATCCGAATTCTGATTTATGACTCTAATAAGATTTCAAAGTCTAACCACTTCAAAGTAATCTTTGGATTAATTATATTTTCACACAGAACTTCATAGATTTGTACATCTTGATGGCAGATGCCCCAGTCGCTTTTGGAATCATTAGCGGAGGGAATGTTAATTTTTTTTTTGCAAATCTGCCCGATACAATTGTGAATGAACTCAAAAACTCTGGAATACGTTCTGCAAATGAGTCTTATATTCTGGAACTTAAAAACAAAATAAAGATACCTTATGTCTTACTTCATCTTCTATTTTGTTGCAACTGAAAGTTTCAAGCAAAATCTAGGATGGTTTCACCAAAGCTGTTATATTCTATCCATGACCATGTTAAAAAGCTATAATTCCATTCTGGAGATCACAATTGTCTTTGGGAGCCCAGAGGACGACATCCCATGGAGACAATTAGCCAAGAGCAGAAACTCAAATAAGAAACTCGAAGTTGCATCACTTCAGATTTAACCAGTTAATGGGGACATTTCTCCCGATGCCTTCAAAATCCAAAAGGTGGTAAAGGGTTTCATTCCAGTCCCCAAGCCCTGATACAAAGTTTAGGTGGTTTTTTCCCCCAGATCATCATTATCAGGATATCATCTTCATCTTCATCTTTCCCTCCCAGAATTAGAATTCCCAATGAAACTTAAGAGAAATGAAAAACTCATGGATTCCTATGCATACAAAATATAGAAGTTAAAAATATAATGACCTGGATTCACTGGAAATTCCCACGGACAGCAGGGATTTCTATCTGTGGGGTGTGAGTTTCTTGTCCCTAGCATTCTGCTGAGGGTCCAAATGCCTCTTTGAATGCTGGTCCTTGTGGACGGGGAACCTCCAGGAACAGAGGGGAGGGACTGGAAGTCTGTAGTCGGAGAAGGATGTGAAAAGGTCCCCTCCTATCAGCAGAAATCCACACAGGATTCATCCTTTGATAAGGTTATCAAAATATTTCATGGGGGGGGATTTGGTGGTGATGGAAGGTGAGGTCAAGACAAAGCTAGGTTACGGTGACGTCTTAGGGTTTTCAGGGCAAGAGACATTCAGAGGTGGTTTGCAATTGCCTGCCTCTTTGGCATGACCCTGGTATTCCTTTGGTGGTCTCCCATCAAAATCCTAGCCAGGGCCGACCCTGTTTACCTTCTGAGATCTGAAGAGATCAGGCTAACCTGATCTATCCAGTTTGAGGGGGAATTTATAGACAGCCCTGGCTCTTTGGCTTGGAAATGGAGATGAGCACCGCAACCCTAGAGTTGGATTTGACTGGCTTTCGAGCAAGGGAAACCTTTACCTTTACTTATTCCTCCCCCCTCCCCCGCTCTGTGGTTTCTGTAGGTTCTTGTTCACATTTGCTAAAGAGAAATCTTTCATATATCACATTTCTGTTAAGTTCCAGATGCTTTTGCAGGGCTTCTTATGATTTGAAGGGATGTTTGCTATCTGCTGCTGGTATATCTCGATGTTGCTGGAGTAAGTAAGATTTCCTTTCAGTTCATAATTAAGCTACAGTGTCAAAATAAAGTGGGATCTTATTATCATATGTGATGGTTATGTGATAAAGCAAAAAAGTATTGGTTTTGGATTCGTGAAATTTTACAAAAAATTGTTAAAATGTTCTGTACCCTTTGTTCCAGAAATATTTTTATTGAATATTTTACCTGAAAACTGTAAAAAATATGATTCTTATCTTACATTACACGTAATTACAACAGTGAGAATACTTCATGCTAAATACTGGAGAAGAACAGAAACACCCTTGAGAGAAGAAATCCTAAGTAAAATTTTGGAAACTGCAGAGATGGGCAAATTAACTTTAATCCTGAAAGGACAACCAGAGTCAACATTTGACAATACATGGTCAAGATTTTATAAGTGGTTTGAAGACTATAGTAAAGAACTTACCCAGATCTTAACAAGGAGGCCAACCCGTCTGATGGCCACCAAGGACATGAAGGTGTAAATGGTAGATAGACTGACCACTGTCTTGCCCTTTCTTCACCACCACTTGGTATCCTTTGGTCAGGCTCAATTCAGCAGCACATTTCTTACCCACAGTCATTAAATGACCAAGTAGAACTTCATCAGAATCTCTGGGGCAAGTGATGTTCTGTCATCTTGGTGCTTGAGGGGGGCAACAGTGGGAGGGCTTCTAATGTCCTGGCCCCACTGCTAGACCTCCTGATGGCACTGGTATTTCTGGCCACTGTGTGATACAGAGTGTTGGACTGAATGGGCCTTTGGCCTGATCCAACATTGGCATCTCTTATGTTCTTATGTTCTTATGTTCCACTTCGGATATCTGAGCCATAGGCTTTTTTGGGAATCACTAGGAAATGTGCTGGAGCTTGTGGAGAAACATCATGGAATGAAAGGCAGCGATCATCCTCAAAGAGGATCTTGGCTGGGATCTCTTTGAGGATGATTTCCCCCAATATGGTATCTCCACCGGTCCGAGCCACCTGAGCATTACTGATCTCGTTGCCCATCTCTCTGTCCCTTGAGCCTGTGGGCAGCTTTGGAATTTGAGGCAGGGAGATAGACACCACTACAAAATGGCTGCTACAGGAGGCACACATCCTCACACAAAATAAAGGGGTGGGTGGGGAATATAAGTGTGCACACACACAAGGAGTCTAAGTGGAGGAAATATGTGCACAGAGGAAGACAAGTGATTGGGGGAAAGGGAGAATAAAGCACACTCAGAGAGAAGAAGTTCGAGATTGGAAAGGGGTATGCCAGTGCTCTGCTGCTCCGCAGCCACCTCCACAGCTGATCAGTGAGCAGCGGGTTGGATCCAAGTGAGAAGCCCCTTCATGCAGACACTCTGTCACTGGTTCATCCTTCACAATGACCCACAATGGCCCTGCTGATCAGACCAATGGTCCATTTGTCCAGCATCCTATCTCACATAGAGACCAACCAGTTCCTCTGGAGGGGCAATAACTGGGCTTAGAGGCCAAGACCTTCCCCAGATGTTGCCTCCTGGCTCTGGGATTCGGAGGCTTAGTGCCTCTGAGTGTGGAGGTTCCCCTCAGTCACCACGGGTAGTGGCCATTGATACTTATCCTCCACGAGTAAAGCTGTTTATTCCTGTGGTCTTCACTATGTCCTCTTGCAGCCTTCCTGAAGCACATGGCCAGGATGCCTACAGGTGCCACATTGGAGAACATAGCAAGAAATGATGTCTGACTGACAGCGAGCATGTCCAGAACACTAAAGAAGCCCTATCAAGTGGGGAAACATGGCATACAGTGATGACAGATCAGGATGAAAAAACTGGTGGGAAAACAGACAATAAAAAGGGTTTATCTCAGGGAATGTCTCAGTCACATTTTCACTACACCCGCCCTGGAAGGAGCTCAGTATGGTGTACATGGTCATTCTCTCCTCTATTTGACCCTCACAAAAACCTTGTGAGGGAGGATGGGATGACAGAGAGAGAGATGGAGAGAGGGAGAGAGGGAGGGAGGGAAGGAGGGAGAGGGGGGAGGGAGGGAGGGAGGGAGGGAGGGAGGAAGGAAGGAAGGAAGGAAGGAAGGAAGGAAGGAAGGAAGGAAGGGAGAGAGTGTGGGGGAGAGGGAGAGAGCAGTTGGACCAATGTGTTTTATGGCTGGATGGGGATTAGAATCTGTGGCTCCTAATTCTTAACCCATCTTTCAATATGATACTTGTCAGAATGCAAGAGTACGCGATGCACTGCTAATATCGATTTAGTCTCTGAAGCCTTTGGTGTAACCTCTTAGTCCTCGTCCCTGCTGAAAGATCTCATCCATCCCCTGGTATCCTTGGATTATCTCCTCTTCCTCAGTCATCCTCATCTTTCAATTTATTAGCATCAAAAGTCAAATTTTCAGTTCCTTGGAGCAGGGCTCTAGGCTCATGTTATCTATGTGAATCACAGTGGTTCTGTGATTAGCGGCAAAAAAAGAACACTGAGCAAAAGAGAAATTGCATACAGCCGCCCATAAAGACGGTGGTACTTATGCTTGCCGAGAGGATAACTGTCAATATGGATAGATCCTGGTGGTCAGCCGTGTTGGTCGGAAGTAGCAGAACAAATTTATACCCCCGTGGCACCTTTAAGACCAATAAAGTTTTATTCAAGGTATAAGCATTCGTGCACATGCACACTTTTTCGAATACACTGGAATGGCAGGTAAGGTTCAGACTTATAGCGAGGGGCTGAACAGCAAATTAACAAGTGACACAATGAAGACGCGCAAAGAAAATACTAAATAACAAGCTAAGGTTATAAGGCCAACAATTGTAAAGCAATAAATATGTCAAAATAGCAGATAGATGTGTAAAGGTGTCTTTTCAAATTGTGGGGAGACTGATACTCCCCATTCTCTCCTCTCAGGCATGGAGGTCACTTAACAGCATTTTTCCCCGAGGTGGGTATTTTTGAGGTCAATAGGGATTGTGACTTTGGAAGCAGTTCATTCCTCTGCTTTCCTCCCAATCAGTCTCCAAAAGGCTCTCTTCACAACCCTGTTTCTCAAGCTATAGATCAGGGGGTTGAGCATTGGGGTCACAATCGCATAAAAAACAGCCACCATTTTGTCCCTATCTGTGAACGTCTTGGTTTGAGGCTTCAGGTATGCAGACAAGGTGGTTCCATAAAAAATGCCCACCACAGCCAGATGAGAGCCACAGGTGGATAAAGCTTTTCCCCGGGCTGAGCGGATGCGCAAGACAGCCAGACCAATGCGCCCATATGTCACCAGGATAAAGGTAAAGGGGAACAGAAGAGTGAAGACACACGTTATCTGCCAGCTAAGCCCATTGAGGTGAGTGTCAGAGCAGGCCAATTTCAACACTGCCTGGACCTCACATATAAAATGATTCACCACATTGCGGTAACAAAAGTGAACTGGCTGGCTGAAAAGAACGACGGCGGTCAAGACAAAAGAGCTGCACCACAGGCTGACGGCCACTCCAACACACACCTTTCTATTCATAATCAAGGTATAGCGTAGAGGGCTGCATATTGCCACAAAGCGGTCGTAAGCCATGACAGCTAGCATGAAGCACTCCGTGAATGCCAAAGAAGTTGTTGTTCAGTCGCACAGTCGAGTCCGACTCTTCGCGACCCCATGGACGAGCTCTCTCCAGGCCTTCCGGTCTTCTGCCGTCCTCTGAAGTTGGCTCAACTTCATGTTCGTTGCATCGATGACACTGTCTAACCATCTCATCCTTTGCCGTCCCCGTCTTCTTTGACCTTCAATCTTTCCAAGCATCAGGGTCTTCTCCAGTGAGTGCTCCCTTCTCATTTGGTGGCCAAAGTATCTGAGCTTCAGTTTCATTATCTGGCCTTCCAGGGAACAGTCAGGGTTGATTTCTTTGAGGATTGACTGATTTGTTCTTCTTGCAGTCCAAGGGACTCTCAAGAGTCTCCTCCAGCACCATAGTTCAAAAGAATCTATTCTTCGGCGCTCGGCCTTCCTTATAGTCCAGCTCTCGCAGCCATACATGACTACTGGGAATACCATTGCTTTGACCATGCGGACTTTTGTTGGCAGGGTGATGCCTCTACTTTTTATCATGCTGTTTAGGTTCGCCATCGCTTTCCTCCCAAGGAGCAGGCGTCTTTTAATTTCATGGCTGCAGTCACAGTCTGCGGTGATCTGGGATCCCAGGAACGTGAAGTCTGTCACTACTTCCACAGCTTCCCCTTCTATTTGCCAAGGAGTGATGGGGCCGGATGCCATGATCTTAGTTTTTTTGATGTTGAGCTTCAAGCCCACTTTTGCGCTCTCCTCTTTTACTCTGAGCCAAAGAAGTACCGATGGTCATTTGTGCGAAACAGCTGCCCAGAGGGATGATGGGCTTGTCTTTGATACAATGAGCCAGCATCTGTGGGACGGCGACAGTGATATAGCAGATGTCAATGAAAGCGAGGTTGCTGAGGAAGAAATACATGGGTGTGTGGAGGTGCGAATCCACCACCGTCAGCACCACGATGAGACCATTCCCAGCTACGGTGGCTGCATACGTGACTACGAAAAAGACGAACAAGGCAACACGCACATGGGGTTGTCTGGAGAGGCCCAGGAGAACAAACTCGGTCACTGTGGTTCTGTTATCCCAATCGTCCATATTTCCTGTAACAGGGAAATTGAGAATCATCGTATCATCTGCATGCGATTTCACCCTGCACACATGTTTACTCATCCGTTTGTTAAATTTTAAATTGGCGATTCAGATGAATCACGGTTGGCCCTGCTTAACTTCTGAGATCTGACACGATTGGGCTTGCCTGGGCAATCCAGGCCAGGGCTACAATGAAAACTTTATTGAGCCAGTTTGGTGTAGCCAGTTTGGTGTAGTGGTTAAGTGTGCGGACTCTAGTCTGGGAGAAATGGGTTTGATTCCCCACTCCTCCACTTGCACCTGCTGATGTGACCTTGGGTCAGTCACAAGCTCTGGCACAGCTGTCGTTGAAAAAGAGCAGTTTGTGTCAGATTTCTCTCAGCCCCACCCACCTCACAGGGTGTCTGTTGTGGGGAGGGGAAGGGAAAGGAGTTTGTAAGCCGCTCTGAGACTCCAAGTGAAGGGCGGGGTATAAATCCAATCTCTTCTTCTTCTTCTTCTAATAGATGAATCTAATTTTAATAATTTAATAATCTGCATCTCTAGAAAAAGCATGCAGAAGCTAGAAAAGATATTAAATTATAGTGAGGAGGAGATCTTTAACCAACTGAAACTGGGTAATTCATTCCAAATACGCATTACTTTTCATATTGATTGTTTCCCATTGTTTGGTTTCTACCATACAGGGACCATTTTCTTGCCGAGACATTTGAGAAAATTATTACCCTGGTCTGCAGCGAATGTGGGCAAGCTGCTCATACTGTGTCCCAAGTTAGTTGAGGTATTTCGTGTTTCAAGGGTGGGAGGGAGAAGAATGGTTGATTGTAGACTTCACCAGACTTATTGAATGTTCAGTCAGGGCCAAACTAGACACGGCATTTTTTCGACAGTCAGGTCTGGGTAGCCCCAGCTGAGAAGGAGGGTGGGGCGGGTTTTTTTGGCACCATTTCAGCTCGGGAAAATGGTGCGGAGAGGAGTCAAGAGCCCCTTCTTCTCCTGCATACTGCAGTTCAGAGCCAGATTGGGAACTCCCTCATTTTAAAAGAGATATCCCTCACATCTGTTGTGTGGCTGCAGAGAGAATGAGTTGGATCTGGGGAAAGTGGACCCAATCCTAGCTTCAGGCCATGCTATGGAGACAGACTCCAGTCTAAACCCATTGAATATAACAATGGGGGAAACTCTGTTTATCCTGCCTGATGCTTAAGCAATATTCTGTCTCTGAAAACTTATTCAAAAACATCACTTTGTTTCTATAGGTATGTGGATGCACTATGTGACTCCATTAATACCAGACAAACGTTCTGACGCATAAAGGCAACTTCTACTGAATCCGATGCTTGGCCTAGAACAGAGATCTTTCACATCATCTATTATAACTGGAAACTTTTTAAAGTGGAGATGCCAGGGACTGAACCCGGGGCCTGCTGCAAACAAAGCAGATGCTCTACCACTGCCCCACCCCTCGCTATCATCAAGAGTGAATGAATTTTATTGTTACAGCGCATAGCCAGCAATTATCATCAAGAGAAAAAGAACATCATTCGCTGTCCTCAAAGTGGTGAGATGAATTAATTCTTAATTAGCTATGAATTCTGTGTTGTCCTGTTTTGTTTTGTTTTTAAAAATCTTATCTTGTGTAATGAATACTGAGGATCTCTGGGTTCCAGTTCTCTAGCAAAAAAGGGGGGGAAGTAAACAACAGCACTTCTGTCCCCTGACATACATTTGAGAGCATTATAAAGTGACTGATGCCCCACTCAAAAGAAAGAAATAAACACCACAGTTATATTCAAGTACAGTAGTGGCGGAGGAAGAGAAGGAGATTGGGTTTATACCCTCTCCTTTACTACCCGAAGAAGTCTCAGAGCGGCTTACAATTTCCTTTCCCTTCCCCTCCCTACAACAGATGCCCTGTGAAGTAGGTAGGCCTGAGAGAGCTCTTTCGAGAACTGCTCATGAGAGAACAGCTCTGAAAGAACTTGTGACTGACCCAAGGTCACCCCAGCAGCTGTATGTGGAGGAGTGGGGAATCAAACTCGGTTCTCCCAGATTAGAGTCCATGCTCCGAACCACTACACCAAATGGGCTCTCCTGTAGAGACCAGCTAGAGTTTCAGGGTAGTTGAGAGTCAATGCTCCCTTCGTCACAGGATGTGGTTCTCTAAAGTGCTACTGGATTCGAATCTAACTGTTCCCCTCTGAAACTATAAACACCACAGTTAAATTAAATAAAGTTCCTTTAATTAATTAAAATTATTGACAATAATTCATAAGTAATTAATTATTTTAGGTAAGCTAGAGCAGGATGCTGAAGAGGATGCCCAGTGGGTTTGCGAGAATTTGAGAAGTCCCACCTCAGCTTTAAGTATTTAGCCACTAACGTATCAGCTCTTCTCTTGTCTCTGCCTGTACATCAAAAAAATGTACTGAGAGATGCCATTGATCAAGGCCATTCCCCTACATTGGTCAGCATGAAGATTCAGGAGTCAACCAGCAGCACTGAGAAAGTATCTTTCCCAGACTCTTCAATTAGAGAGCCCAAAAGCGTCCAGTCTGGATACATCTCCCTATCCTAAGATACTTGAGGGTGTCTACATGTTTTAGGCACCTCCTTGTAACTGGCCTTTAATTTCTAAATACTTTTGGTATCTCATTAATTAAAAAGCGGTCCCTGACCTCATCAGTTTTTAACAAGGGACAACAAGAAACAACTGTGAGCTGAATTCCCCGCAGAAGTAAATCCAAAAGGAGACTTCAACACAGTGAAATGCACATGTAATCAGAAATGAATCTATACATATAATCCATCATTGGAAAATACAGACGTTCACAGGATCCATAGAAGGAAAAAAAAACAAAGTCCAGAGTAGATAGCCAACACTTTTCCTAGGCTCAAGTGGTTAAGACGCTGAACTGCAGGCTGTGGAAGGTCGGTAGTTCAGTAGTTCAAGACCCGAGTGTGCCGCATGACGGAGTGAGCTCCCATCTCTACTTCCAGCTCCTGCCAACCTAGCAGTTCGAAAGCAAGAAATTGCAAGTAGATAAATAGGTACCACTTCGGTGGGAAGGTAACAGCGTTCCATGTGCCTTGGTGTTTAGTCATGCCGGCCACATGACCACAGAAACGTCTTCGGACAGCGCTGGCTCTTCAGCTTTGAAACAGAGATGAGCACCGCAACCCTAGAGTCAGATTCGACTGGCTTTCGAGCAAGGGAACCTTTACCTTTACCTTTATGCAGTTTCAAACTTCTGGTCCTTCCTCAGGAACAAAGAACAACATTAGGAAGTCTCATTCCAATTTCTTTACAGGACAATACTATTCAGTTTCTTTATGGGCCAGTTCTCCTAAGCTTTAATATGCACCTCTCAAGGTTGCTTCTATGGATCCTGTGAACGTCTGTATTTTCCAATGATGGATTATATGTATAGATTCATTTCTGATTACATGTGCATTTTACTTTGTTGAAGTCTCCTTTTGGATTTACTTCTGCGGGGAATTCAGCTCACAGTTGTTTCTTGTTGTCCCTCATCAGTTTTTAAGACATTGGCAGAATCATTCTGTGGTCCCTTTATGATGGAGCTTCACCACAGCTTAATCCGTGCATCTGTTCGCATCAGCGACATGAGAGGTCAAAGAAGAACTCATGCAGTGTAAGCACCGACTCATCTGAATAGCTGTAAAGGGGGGAGGGAATCAAGTCTCCTCACTTGCAGAAGCACAACTGGCCCAATATCCTAAGACAGCAATAATGGTTCCCCCTTAGGGGAAAAAAATAACATTAATTTCTCTGACAGGAACTCCAGCTGTTCCATCAGGGAAAGACAATAATTTTAAATAGGGGTATTAAACAAAACATTGGAACCTGATTTCAGTTACTCATATTCTACTTCACTGTCCTATGTTTCGTAAGATTCGTCAGCAATATCTTGATCCTGCTATTTCTAACCTTTCTGGTTCTCCAGAAAGAATTGCCCAGTATTTACTTGCTGATAAATCCTCTCGACTGATGGAATTAGTGGCTGAGTACTTGGCTATAGTATTGCACAACAGCTATCCTTTTCTAGGTAAAGCCAATGAATAATTGTCTGTTTTTGCTTTTAGGCACTGTTTTCTCGATATTACTCTAATTATCCTTTTAGATTGTACTTTTTATCTGATTTTATTTACTTAGACCCTGTTTGTATCTAATTCTAATTTACCCTCATATGCCATTAAAGGTTTTGAATTTGATTTCAAAAAAGATAGGATGAGAATCGTTTTTTGAATCATTAGCAGTTGTAATGCTAATATCTTTGCAAATCCACCCAACACGTGAACGAACTCAAAAGCTATGAACTATATTCTGCAGACATCATGTGAATGGGCCTTGTTTTCTGAAATTAAAAAGGAAAGATGCCTCATGGCCAGGGGTCTTGTTGTAGAAAAAGAGCTGCCGGAGCTCATTAGCATAACTCATTAGCATAACTTATTTGCATATGCCACGCCCCCTGACATCACCGGAAGTGACAGAAGGCCACACCCCCTGACATCACCGGAAGTGTGTCAGAAGGCCCGGCTACTTACCCTCCTGCTTCATCCTCATTCCCAAACGGAATGAGGATCGAAGAGAGGGCGGGGTAAAGAAGGGGGCGGGGCTTCACCACGTGACCGCCCCGCCCCCTAGAGGTTCTCTTCCGGAGCTCCGTACCTGAGAGCTCCCCCCCGACTAGAGCCCTGCTCATGGCTCTTACTTCATTTTCATCTTCTATTTTGTTGCAATGAAGGGCGTCAAGCAAAATCCAGGATGGTTTCATTGATGCGGTTATATTCTATTCATGACCATTCAAAGAGGCGAAATTCTATTCTGAAGATCACAACTGTCTTTGGAAAACCAAAGGGACCACCTCCCATGGAGACAATTAACAAAGGAGCAGAAGTTAAGATTAACAACCTGAGGTTGCATCACTAAAGTACTCATTTCAGATTTAACCAGTTAATGGGGACATTTCTCTAGATGCCTTAAAAATGCACAAGGTGATGGGGTGTGAATTCTG